CGACAGACAGAGGCGGGGCCCGGACGGAGCGCGGGGCGGGGGCGGCCGCTGCCAACTGCCCAGCCCGCACACGCACCTCCGCCCGGCCCTGAACCTGCGCGCCGCGGGGACCCACGGGGCGCAGGGGATCGCGTGCGCAGGCGGGAGCGAGCGCGTACCCCGTGGGACGCCGCGAGCACGCTTCGGCCCCGCCTAGCCCGACACTGGGCACCTCCTCCTAGACCGCGGGCTGAGCCAGTCCTGTCCTGAGTACTCCGACCGCTGAACGGAGCGTGCGCACTCCTGTACCTCAGGCTGGAGCTTGGGGAAGTCCGCGCCAATGGCTCGCCTGCCTGTCTGCATAGCTGACGCCCAGACGGTGTGTAACAAGCGTGCAGACCCACATGGTAGAGCAGCCGGTAACAGCCGCGGCTGCGGCCCCACCCACAGCCCAGGCGGGACACTTGACTGCGTGCTGCTTCCACCTGAGGTGGAGGGCACCTAGAGTGTCCCCTGTCCTCCCAAACCCTGCTCGGCGCTGCCCTTGTGGGTGAGGTCCAGGAACCTCTCCATACCAACGGAGGCCCTGGCAACGCAAGCCATAGCCACAGCCCAGTAGCAACAGCCAGAGCAGGCTGGAGCCGGCACAGTGCTCCAACAAGAGGCCAGAGTTCCTGCACCCTATGGCGCGGGCACCGACCCCAGCCACTGAGAATGTGAGTCCCAGGACACTGCTCTGCGGGGTCCTCCCCTTGCCCAGAGGCCAGGAAGGTGCAAGTCTCCACATCACGGGTCTGATCCTGGCTCCAGCTCAGCAGGGGGCGGGGAGGACGTGGCCTTAACTCAATGGCAGCGCCTGCCATGCCCTGAGCAACCCAGCGACCAGTGGTGGTGGTGCCTCCCAGGTTTTGCCACGAGCTGAAGACTGGCTGTCAGGAGGTCCTGGGGATGCCCCAGCATGGGCCAGCAGCCTTGGGGCCGAGCTCTCCTCCGACCCAAAGCTGGGTGAGGTGCAATGGCTGCAGGTAGGTGAGGGCACAGGCAGGAGGGGGCCCCCCGGGCCCCCCGGGCATCACTCCTGGCCACCCACAGATCTCCAAAGAGCTGGTCAGCCTTCAGATCGCAGCCCATCGCCTTCAAGAGCAGCACGAGGCTGAGGTCTTCACTCTGCAGAGCGAGGTGAGCGTACAGCCCGTGTGCCTGAGTACCAGGGGACAGAGGGTGCACGCCTAGGAGAGAGGCCCAGGTGTGCCGGAGTGCAGGCATGCTTGGGCAGTCACCACCTGTCCGTGTGTGCCCAGCGGAGGCCTGGCTGGCAGGCGTGCCTGCTCATCTGGTTGCCCACAGATCCTTCGGCTGGAGAGCCGCGTGCTGGACCTGGAGCTGTGCAGAGACCATGCTGGGCGTGGACCTGCAGGCCCAGCTCTGACACTAGAGCGTGGACACAAAGGCTGGGGGGCCGGATCCTCTGACCGCCACAAGTGCCAGGTGACCCTGAGCACATAGGGGCTGAGCTGGGCGGGGGCCAAATGGGAGCCTCCGCCAGGAGAATGAGAATGGGGCCTGCCTGCCCACCCTAGTCCAGGTGCAGTCCGAGGATGCCCTGACCTCAGTGCATGGGTGGCCAAAGCCGGGACAGTGTGGGCGTGCAGCCTCCAGCCCAGGGCTCTGTCCTGGCCCTCCTGGCCCGGGGAGGGATGGGGCGTGTCTAGCCTTGTACACCCACAGCTGCCAGCAGGCCGGGAACAAGGAGGGGCACAGCAGGCGCTGGAGCAGCACGTGATCCGGCAGCAGGGGCCAGACGCCAGTGTGTGAGTGGCTGTCTCGCCTGGGACAGGGAAGGCGGGCGGTATCTGCAGGTGCAGTGCCTGAAGCTGCTGTTCCCAAGGGGCGGGGCCCTCACCTTGCTAAGCCTTGCATTGTGGCAGCAGGACAGCCCTGGGTCTGCAGCTGCAGCGAGCCCAGGAGGAGACAAGGGCAGCTGGGCAGCAACTAGCCGCACAAGCTGTGGTGAGGCCCTAGCCAGCTTTCGAGGGAGTCGGGGGGCAGGGAGCATACAAGCTCAGCCAACATAGTTTGAGGGCCACCCCACCCCCAGGTGCTGTCTGCCTGCCAGGGCCAGCTCCGCCAGGCTGAGGCAGAGAACGCCCAGCTGCAGCTGCAGCTCAAAGAGCTGCACCAGGTGTATGCCCTCCGGCTGGAGCACTCTGCCCGCCAGGTGCTGGTGAGTGCCAGGCAGGCTCTGCAGTGCGTGGGCTGGCCTCTGAGTCGTCGGGCTCGGGTGTGCTGGAGAGCTTCGGGGACCCCCCAGGAGCTGACCCTCTGTACCATTCGGTCCGCTGTGGGGGAGCGGTGGGGGCGGAGGATGGTCCATCAAGCTGCCCCCAGTCCCAGCCTCAGCCTCCCCCAGGAGTATGCCGACGACACGGGCCAGGCACCTGCAGTTGCAGCCCTTCGGCAATTCCTGGAGGCCACTCTGGACGACATCCGGGCAGCCCACCACAACCGTGAGCAACAGCTGGCCAGGGCTGCTCGCACCTACCGCAGGCGCCTGGCAGATCTGAGCCACTGGCATCAGGAGCTGCTGGCTGCCCGCAGGTGGGCCCCGCCCTGACGCAGGCACTGACGGGGCGGCGCCGAGGAGAGTAGCCTAGTGTGCGAGGAACAGTCCCAGGCGCTGGCGGACACCAGTGGGGCCCCCAGGAGCCCCGAGACCTCTGCCCTGGAGGCACTGCCTGGACGCCAGTCGCAACTGGAGGACCAGGCGAGGCTGGAGCCACACCTGCAAGAGTGCCAGGTGTCCTGCCCTGCAGGCCCAACTGCTCCTGGGCAGAGCGCCAGCTGGCCCTGGGTCTCAGCCCCTGGGCCTCAGCCCCTGGGCCCCCTCCATGCTTGGGGCGTGCCCTTGTCCCTCAGGACCCATTGGAGCCTCCTCAGGGCGAGTGTCAGCGCTGTGGTGGGTGCCCTGGTGTGCGCCTGAGGGGAAAAGAAGCACAGCAGCACATCTTGGCCACCCACCTCGCTGCCAGCTGGGTTCTGATCACAGCAGTGAACTGCCCTAGGGACTGTGAGGGGACAGAAGGCTAAGGAGCTGCTGGGCTGAGAGCCCTGGCTGGGAGGAGCTGACTGCAAATGGAGGGAGGGCTACCTGGTGACCCTGGCCAGCCCTGGCTGCCAGGCCTCTCCCTTCCCAGCTGTAGCATCATGGGGGTCCCCAGCTGGCCGTGTGGCTCAGCCTGCCCTGAGCGGCCAGCAGGACCCATCATGGCAGGGTGGACCCACACAGCCTCGAGTTCATTCCCAGCAGGTACCACTCAGCTCTGGGAGCCCCGACTCAAGCAAGGCCCCTGGCCAGCTCTGGCCGACACACCAGTCCTTGAGACCACTCTCCGCACTTCTCACAGGGGTCTGGACACAGCACTCTGGGCCCAGATCCACCAGAAGCTCCGGGACTTCGCCCGTGGCACACAGGTAGTGGGCAAGGCCAGACAGGGTGCTCCTCATTGCACCCCGCACCAGCTGATCTGCCTCCCATGCCAGGCAGCGCTGGAAGGGGAGCGGGCGCAGCTGCTGGTCCGGGCCGCCATGGCTGAGGCACAACTCTCAGAGCTACAGGAGTATGTGGGGCAGCGCCTGGGCAGGTGAGCTGGGGGCTGGAAAGCTGGGGTGCAGGCGGGGGGGAGCTGGAGGGCCGGAGAGCTGCCGGGTAGCTACAGAGGCAGGGGAGCCGCTGGGGCCGGGTGAAGAGGTGATGGCCATTGAACACCAGAGGCAGACCAGGCCACGCAGAAAGGCAACTTGAGCTGGTCTCCTGAGCAGGTACAAGCAAGAGATCCTCAGGCTGACGGAGCTGGTGGGGACAGGGGCCCCCTGGAAAGTGGGGACCACGCCCCCAACCCAGTCTCAGCACCCACAGACGGGCAGCCGCTAGTTGGCCTTCTATGAAGACAGAACTGGTCTTCCTTCTCAACCAGCATGGAGCCCCCACAGCCCCCCAAAAACAAAGGCATCAAGGTGGAGCTGAGCATCTTTACTGTACCCACAGTCAGGCGGCCTGGGAGACGGTGGACCCAGGGGTTGAGGGGGAACTGGGTCCTGGGGCGGTCTTGTTGGTCACACCCCAAGAGGAGTTGGCCCCCCCAGCCAGCTCACCACTGCAAGCTATGTCATAGGCCCAGACTCGGTCAAGGCCCTCGCCCACCACCGCCGTGGGCTGCCAGGTGGGGAAGGGGAAGCGTCCAGAGACCACACGGGCCCCCGTGGGCAGCTCAGCCTGCAGCTTGTCCTCCAGCAACGAAAGCTGTGGGAGAGTGAGGGGTGGGCAGGGCTGGCCGGCGCCGGCGCCCCTCTGCAGGCTGCCATCCCAGGCCTCCCAGCCACCCTGGGGTGGAGCCTGGACCTACCACACTGGGGGCCAGAAACACGGACACATTGTGGCAGTCTCTCAGGCTCACCTGTGGGAGAGGAGGAGCCCGGCAGGGCTCACATTGAGGCTGAGGGCACTTGGATTGTCCGGACGGTGGTGGGCCAGAGCCTGAAGCTGGGAAGCCATGTAGGGGAAGGGGCCCAGGACTCTCAGGTTACCTTCCAGAAGTCCTCACGGCAGTACTGGACGCTCCTGCCACAGCCTACCCTCCAGGCCCGCAGCCGAGCCAGCCCCACCAGCCACGGGTTCAGTTCGTACCCCACAGCAGGGCGGAGACCACTCCTGTGGGCTGCCAGCACCTGTTAACAGGAGCACATGGGACCAGGACGTGAGGGAGGAGCACCTGCAGGAGGGGAATGGAAGGAGAGGGAAGGACAGACGTACACGTGTACACACACACACACACACACACACACGCCTTACGATCCTGCCGTCGCCGGAGCCCAGATCCACCGTTTTCCCGGGGCGGCCTCGCAGCAGCGACAGCACATGCTCCACCTGCCTCGCACTCGCGCCCACATAAGGCACCTGCGCAACAACGCGGGCAGGTTGGGGAAGCTGGAGTCCACCGGCCCCTCCGCCCACAGGTACCAGACCGATCGCCCGGCAGCGCCGTCCAGGCCTCCAGCTGCTGGCCCCCTCGCTGCTCTCCTGTCCCTGGTCCTTGCC